ACGTGTCTGATTATTTGTAACCGTGGACCGTTATCTAAATGCCGATTTCGGTATCGAAAGATGGGAAACCGAATATTAACCAGGAAAATTCCAGCGTGTATCGATGCTTCGAATTTCAATAGTTTCGATGGAAATATTATACGTTTAATGGGGAAAAATCGAACTCTTTTTTTTTTCCTCCCCCCTTCCTCCTTCGATATTTTACAAATATCGAAAATATCGAGTAATAAAATTATTCGATTCGATTCGTTGTAAAATTCGAACGAAACTTTTTCAAAAATTTCGATGAACGTTCATAGACGTGAAAATGAAAAGTGAAAAAATGAAATTGTATTGATATCACGGATGCATTTCGATACGTTCAATGCACGGAGAGTAAAAGAGAAAATTGTATAATTCGAGGAAATACTTTCGGAATTAATTTAATCAAATATTTGACTCGATCAAAGCTCCAAAAAGTCCAAGCTTATTTAAAATACTTTTTGCATTAAGATAGAATAATAATAATAATACTAATAACATACTAATGCATTTTTTAAAGATACTGCTATATGGAAAAAATTGTTCACAGCTTGTGAAAAGAATATCGAAAATTTTAATTTTTGAAATTCACGGAGCCTTGGACGAAAAAATTTTATTCCATTCTTTTTTCTTCTTCTTATCTTTTCATAAAGAAACCACCCTGTATTCGCTCGTACATTTTGCCAGACCCTGAATATTCTTTTTTTCTTCGTAAGGTTTATCGTTTGATTGAATTATCGTTTTAATTGGACCAGGTGGTGAATGAATACACGGATTGGGAGCGGACAGTGCAGCATCCGGTGAACACGAAGGACGCCTGCGTCCAGGCGCTAAGCGACGCCCAATTTGTGGCGCCTTTGGTGCAGACTGGCGACCTCTTCACTCTAAGACACACGAAGAAACCGAATAATCCTCACATAGCACCGATTCCCGAAAGCGAGAAAGAACCACTGCCCAAAACGTATTTCTACGTGTTCGATTATCAGATGAAGGATGGGGATTATCCTCAGGTAAGTGGTCGTTTTCTTCTTCTTTGATATCCTAGAAGAATTAAGAAGAAATAAAAAAAACAAAAAAAGACAAAATTAGTTATATAATCAAAAGAATTCTTTATGATAGCATACGATACGATATTATTGAAATTGATAATATGCATATTATTATTAGCCATTTAACAAAGTATTATAAAGCTCACGATTTTATGAGATAATTAGATTCGAAAACACATCTGCGCGCTCGAGCTTTTCCTCTCCGTGCCGTGAATAAATTAAACCCGTGGAATAGAATTAATAAATCGATCGGTATGGTAGAACTTTACTGTTCGGTGTTCCCATCTTTCGATCTATGCGCCGTATTCGATTAATTCTCACCGATCGATGCAATTAAAAGTTATTCGAAATATTTTCTCGTGAAGTGAAATAGCATTGTTTACATCTGTATATCTTCACAATTGACAGCGGCTATTTCATTGCGAGCGACACGTACATCGCAATCCAAAGCTACGAGACACGTATATCTCATTTTGTTTGAAATTCGAAATTTTGTTTAAAATTCGAGTTCGAAAGCTTGTTAAATCGAACGCCGAGCGGAGCGTGCGATATTGTATTAACATTCGTCCATTTCGCAGGATGGAAAGTTACAAAGTTACTTTCTCGCGAGTATTTACGACGATCTAGAAATCATTGTAACGATGAATCTCCTTTTTTTTTTTTTTTTTGTTTCGCGATTAAAACAATTGAAAATATTTTTCACAAAATTAAATGAAAATTATCATTTACGTACGCAGAATATGTAGGTCGGGTAATTCCAAGGGACAAGTGTGTCTTGTTTATAAATATGATATGACGACGCGGTGTTTGTTCGCGAAGGAATGTGGCAAATTATGCAGCTACGAGCTCGTTTGTATCATTCCTTTGGATATGAAAAAATCCTCGTTCCCTCGTGAGAAGTCGGCGACGAGACGAGATAAAGGGTAGAAATGGCGAGGATGAACGAGGTGAAACGATCCTAAGCTGCTCTAACTTGAGATATTATCGGGATGAGTAAATTCCGTGGGAACGAGATATTTCGTGAATGTAACTAATGTTTGCCATTATGAAAATTTACCGAGTGTGCGTCTGCAGAACGAATTTTTTTTTTTTTTTTTTTAATCTTGAGCGATCGTTATGGAAATTAAGCTCTCGTTCGTTCGGATTGTAAACAGAGTTTTCGTTAAATCTAGGAAATCTCTCGTGAAGAAAGATAATAAAAACGCGTAATTAAATTATTGAACGCTCATTGCAAATATGGTTCGCGAGATATTCATATAATTAAGAGAAAATTTACTTCTCTAAAAAAAAAAATTACGACAATGGCAATTATTCGATTTGCGTAAACTATATCAATTTTAAATCAAAAATAAGTATTCAATTATTTACGATTGTTTATCATCTTTCAACACTTGTCTCCCTCTTGTTTTCGAAAAATTCCATCTTTGGTTTATTTTTATTAACACGCGTTCCGTGTTTATTAAAATTACCTTGTGCATGACGAAATTTAATTAATTCCTCAATTAATTTATGAAATTCCTGGACAAAATTATTCAACTCCCATTTATAGTTGCCAGTTTCTTCTCATTTAAACGAACATTAATTACTACGTAATTGTTTATTTATTTGCTTCAATTCGATATAAGTTTATGAATTACAATTAACTGACACTCTCATATATTAAATATGAACGAAACGTTTAATCTTTCATTTCCTCCTTTATTTTATCATTTCTCGAATAATTAATCCGAATAATATTATTTTTCTCGACAATGAGCATTACATTTCTTTTAACGTTAAAATCTAATCGTGAAAAAACGAAAAGAGCAAAAAAGTTCATCGACATTGAAAATACTAAAAGAAGATTATATAAATATCGACAAATATTCTTTTTATACTGAATAATGATCAAATTATCATTTAACACGAAACATTTTTCCATTTAAATCTTTCTTTCTTATTTATTAAAAATTATGATCAATTTTCCACTAGAAACAACTTTCTTATTCCTTCCACATTTTCTCCATTATTTAAGAAAAGAGGCTATGCGTATTCCACGAATACAGAAACGCATACGGGAATGCATTTATTAATACCAAACTTAATTTAATCCGTACGGTTGAGCGCAATGCAAAAGACATCTGGTATCCGGTAAATCATCGGCTACGAGTGACTGTTGCAATTTCCGATTCAACGTCGAATCCCATTCTCGGCCCGGTGTGCCAATGTTCCGTGTAAGCGAGAAGTAAGATATCCCCGTACGCTCCATCTTGAATGGAAAATATTGCCGGATCAATAATAGAGATCCGTGGCGGACGGGGACCGACTTGGGATTCATTGTCACTTGGTGTCCATCGGTCACGACTTTTGTTACGCGAAAAGATTTCGAGCATCGATAACCAGCATTATCCAATCGTGGAATACCAATCTATTCCATATAAGAAAGGAAGAGAATAATAGAAAATAAAAAGAAAATAAATAGATGAAGGAACTTGAGTAAAACTTTCATTGACTCGATCACTTTCAAACACTCGTGATTCGATGGACGAGAGAGAATCTGGTCATGTGGATCGTTTTGTGGATGAAAAGGGAAGAGATGATACATCCAGCGCGATCTCTCCTCTTTTCAGATAAGGGGCCAGATTTATAACGGCCACGGAATAACGAATTTTACCGTGGCAAAGATTTGCAGCGATTCGGCGATAAGATTAGCGATTGATAAACGGCTAGGGTACGCGCGTTGTCCGCAACACCAACAACCAGACGAGTTTTTGGGCTCGCTTCGTGTCGATCCAGGCATACAAAATTGGAAAATTGTCGACTCGGATGCATTCACGCCATTCTCCGCGCGATCATTTATTATTTCGGATCCGTGCATCTTTAAACAGAATCCTTTGCTGTTTGAAGAACGAATATATTCTCCGTATAAATAATCCATAAATGAATCGGACGAATCGATTGTTACGCGCTCGTAAGCTTGTGTTTGTCCAACAGTAACAAGTTTTTCTCGTTGAAATTCTATATTTGTTTTTCTCTTTTTTTTCTCTAATTTCCATTTCATCAAAATCCATATATATTTTTTTTATCTTATATTCGTTTCTCGGTGGCGTTTTACGTGAAATTAAATATTACGAGTTAGAAGGATAATATAAGATAATGTTGAAAGTTATTTTAAGATAATTCACTGCGCTGTAAATCGAATGCAAAATTTCACCATGTTTGAAGATTGAAAAAAAATAGAGAAAGATACTCACGTTCTACGTGTGTGCTGGGTAGATATAAATATAAGCATAACCAGAGAGGGAGAGAGGGAGAGAGGAGAGAGATGAATCGGTGAGATGCGACATGTTCGGTTTCCACTGGCGTTAATTTGTCGAAAAGCTGGGGAACATGGAGCGCAGCATACCTTAAGCACTGTGATGCATATTGTAGCAGATCGGTGTTAACGGGGCGCGCGCCATCGTTGTTTAAATTGTTACATCCGCGGTGCTGTGTGCATGAATCAGCAATGCGAAACAGTAAATATTTCTCGGTATAAATTGTCGAAGTTCGTTGATTGCACTTCATCGTTCGATCGTTAATCACGGGCGCTTGGATTTCTCTCGAAACTGAAATGTCGAACTTACCACCAACTTCTGACGAGTCGCGTGAAAAATATATTGGAAGAGAATTTTCTGAAAAAGATGGAAAAAGTTTTAAATTTACGCAATAATACAAAGATGCATTTGCAAAATTATAAGGACGCGAGGTTGCAAATGGCGGGAGGAATAACGTACGTTATTGAAATAATACGGAATCGATGTGCGTGTATGTGGATGAATTAAATAAGGGAGTAACGAGGCATTGAAATTTTAAAAATAGAAATAAATGAGATATTATAGTTCTAAGAAGAGATTACGATGAAGAAGGAAGATTGAAAATGATGTATTACGGAATAAATGAGGTACTCAAATAGAATTTACGAAGCTTCAATGTCTCGTTAGTTCTCCCTCGGTAGTGTTGTAATATTGCATAAAGGACTCGAGTACTCCATCAGTATGAATATGTATAATAATTCGTGTATAACGATGACGATTTATATTCTCGAATATAAAAGAATGCCAAAAGCGAGAATTGACAAAGGGAATTGCTTCTAAAAATTACAAAATTTTTTATATATTAATATTAAAAATTTAACACGAGAAATACTATTTTATGCTTCTACTTACTTCGAGTGGAGTGCTATAGTTTTCTAAAGTAAAGATAATACAATCCTTAGTTCTGACACTCGAGAATGATATATCTGAAACTAGTTGCTATTTTAGTTCTTATTAAAAATCGGTAAAGAAGGAAGAAACGTACGTTTCTTATTTTCTGACACTCGAGAATGGTATATCTGAAACTAGTTGCTATTTTAGTTCTTATTAAAAATCGGTAAAGAAGAAGGAAGAAACGTACGTTTCTTATTGTCTATATATATATATGTATAACTTGAATCAAAATTGAAATTTTATCATATTAGTTACATAAAGTTTAACATCCGATATACTTTAATTGATCGAAATTGGAGAAATATAAACAACTTCGTGAGGAAAATTGTGAGGATTAAATTGATTAATGATTATAATGCACGTGAGTACGCGAGAAATCTGTTTTATCATTAACGATACGACATGAAGTACATGTATTCGTTTTCACGATAATTGCATTGTGAAACGATGACTGGCTATTTATATTAATTTTGATTACAAAGGATTTCTAAATGAATATTAATACGGGCGATAAAAGTAAATGAGCAATGAACACGATAATTTTGGATTCGCGATTAAACGTATATCGTGAATGTTGCACGACAATTTGAGAATTATTTTGATTCGACGATCAATCACGTTATTTAATACGTTAAATAATTATTTTCGATTATTTTTTTTTTGGTTTAAAAGTAAAGTAAAATTTTTGAATGCAATTAAAGATCTAAAATTCTAAAAATGATCGAAGAAACT